CTATATAGAAACAAATATCAGCGGGTTTTTACATTAAATGCACTTACTGTGCGTTTTTCCTTTTTTCCACATTCTCAACAAAATCTACGGGAAAAGAATAACAAACTGAAGTCTTGTTTTGATGGTACTCGTAAAGGATGGTACTAGTAAGAAGAAATAACTGACCATAATTGTGACCTCTGTAGAACATCTCCTTCTAGTTTATTAAATTAAGAAGGCAAATAGCTCGTTTTGAATATAAAGCTGTTAGAGTCCCAAAAATACACAGCACCTGAAATGGTCAATTCCATGTGCAGAAAGCATTGGATCAGTTTAAAGTGTAATAAATAAAAAACGACAACAACAAACAACAGGGCTGAAGAGCAATCTGCATCTTCAGGAGGCTTTCTAACCTACTTCAGCCAGGTCATAAGACACAATGCAGAGACTTTAGAAATGTTCTCCTTTTTAAAAGTGAATCTCCACAAGCTGCACTAAGGTCCCACAAGTACAATAGTTACAGTTTTAAAAAAAAAGTGCCTAATTTGCTCCCAGCATGGCATGGGGACCAAGGCACAAACAGACAAGCTGGTGGCCCTGCCTGCTTGTACCTGCACAATTTAGCAGCTTCAGATCCCATCCCCATGAGTCCTGCGGGGCCTAGAGGCTGCCATGGCATCATCTCAAGTGCTGCTGATGGTGGGAGGGCAAAGAAGCCAGCAGCTGGTGAAGAGGAAAGGGTGGGATGTGGGCCCCTGAGGACATGTGTTTTGAGTAATGTGTGTGTAATGTGTTTCACTCTAGTCCATTGTGTTCCACTGGTCTTGCACCAGGTGTGTTTGGTGCCACTCTCTTCATCCATCCATCCATTCATCAGTCCAGTACTTTTGTTGATCGACATGGCAGAACTTTCCTTTGTAGATCTAGGACTCTTCAGCACAGTTACATTGCTGCTAGCCCCAGGCTCTGTGGGGGGAGAATGTGCCTTTGCTGTGGGGAGAAATGGCTGTTCCTTCTGGCTGGCCATGCTGTCGTGGTGCAAGTGCTACTAAATGTGTGTGAATTCATGTATGTGCTCTGGAGCTGAACTAAGCCTAAGTATTTCATTGACCCAGCTATCTACTCTTGCCTTTCTGCTCCGTGTGATAGTACGCTTCTAAAACCATGCCAGTTTAGGGTGCGATACAAGCGATTTCCCTATCAAATTCTACCATTTGTGGGATGATATTCCCCCTGGAACAACAGATGAAAGAGGAAGGCAGGCTAATTGATTCAGCACTGCCCCTCTGCTCCTGAGCGCAGGCACTTAGCTGTAACCATTGTGAAACAGAAGAATTTGCACTGTTATGAACTGGTATCACAGAGCTCAGTAAGTGGTGGATACTTCATGAACTGTCAGCTTTTCAGAGGATTACCATATAGTTTTACTGGTTGAATGCACTTTTCCAGCTAATATCTGTAACCAATGTAGTTTCCCGTGTTAAGGAGGTATGTTGTTCATAGTCTATAACTATGAAAGGGGGAGAGGTTGGGTTTTTTTTGTATTAAAACCATGCCTGTACACTGATAATTAACAGCTGTATTTCAGTGCATTCAGAAATCAGACTTAATATTTATATCTCCTTTTCCCAGTTTAGAACCAGAAAGACCTTATACGAAAATCTCTTCCTGTGATAGTAACTCCACCCACTGCTAAAATAACGAGTGTTAATTTTTACACAAAACAACAGAATGGGTGTGAAGCACTAGTCTCTGTGTAACGTGTACTCACAGAATGGCATTTCTTAAAAAAGTTGGCTGGCTAAAGACATAACATCCTAGCATCTTGCAAGTGTCCAGTGTGGTTGCTTTGAAGAGATAGTTTAAATTAAGCATTTAGATTTCTATTGCTAGCATATACCTCTAAAAAATTTGTATTGTTTTTTGAAATTTGGAGTGTAAAGCAGCAAGATATAAAGGAGAAGGCACATTTTTGGTGGATTTTTTCTTTAGCTAAGCATGGTTCCAGTTTGGAAAAGGAAGAAAGACTATATCTTCATTGTCCAACTAAAAATAGCCAGACCTGTTCAGACAGAGGGAAATGCAATTCTTTTCATTGATTTCCACACCTAAGTTCATAATATTTCTGAGAAATATTTCTAAGCTGGTGTTTTCTCTTCAGTAGCATGCTTCCACCTCCCTTCATCTTTGTTGTGTTAGCAGAGAGTTTTCTCCCCTTCTGTCTTGAAGACAATTTTTTTGATGCATATTTTCTTTCAAATGTTATGAGTGTCTATGCAAACAAGTAAAAATTTGAGTAAAGCTGCTAAGTTACTGTAAATGTCCAAACCTCTTATCAGACCTCTGTCCTTCTGGTCGTGATTGATGGGACTTACGGGAATTAGTTTTCTTACCCAACTGCAACGATAGTCAACTTCCACATACATAGTCATGTAATAGAGTCTCAAACCCTATTCACATGGTGTAAGTGATAATACCAAAACCAACCATTTGTTCATCCTGGGGCCTATGCTATATTTTAATTTAGGTCCATGCACGCTTTCACATGAATGAACTTTCCACCTGTCTTTTGCCTGCATCTAAAAAGATGCCTTATCTTTATGTTGCTGGATACTGACCAGGGCAGAATGTTATCAACTTTGTCCTTTTCAGAAGCTGTTTGTGGACTTCTAGAAGAGACTACAAGAGATCTGGTTCATGTAACTCTGTGTTCTACTTAATCAGAGATATTTTTAAGGTGACAGTGGACTGTTTTGATGGGATTCAGTTGCCTAAAATGGCACTAAATACCTGCTCTTAAATACCCAACTGCTGCTTTGCCTCTTGCTCTCACTCTCAAAGAGTTCAAATCTCCTGCAGATCTTGTCATATCTGCCACTCAAATGTGAATGTCTCAGATTTCTCAAATGACACAAAGCATTTATGCTTAAGCAACTGAATCTTAACACTTTTCAGCGAGAGAAAAACATTATTTATACATACATTATTTATATGTATCCCTTTAGTTTTTTGCTGCCTGTAAAGCCTCAATAATTTTAGCACTTGAGCTATATTCTTCTTATTCACAGATTGCATTGCTCCAAAATTTGCTGCTCCTTGTTTTTGTTTCTGAATGTACAATGAGTGAAATAAATTTGGTTTTGTCTCCATTACTTTCTATAATAAAGTACCTTCTTGTAACACCGCTAGGAAACTTGAGTTATTTGCCATTTAACACTATTTAAATGTAGGAAAATGTCAATGGTGAAGCTCAAGCTGTTTGGCTTTTCTGAAGGTCTGTACATACGGCATGTGACTCACAGTGGGTGTACTTTATGGTTGGTATAATTCCTATTTTGAAACAGAGAAGCAAAGTTTTATTTGGGAATTCTTCATATGTTCATTATTTAGCCTTCATGTTTTAAGATGCTGTTTAGTGCCAAACATCTTGGAGTTTATGGAACAATTTTCCATTTTAAAATTGAATTTCTGTGTATTGCATTCTAGACTGTCTCTCATCACTTCTGAAAATATTTTAAAATTACAGCCATAGAGTTTGGAAACACTTTGACAAGAGTGCCAAAAAGTTAGGCTTTTGTGGAGTGGACAGAGGGAAAACTTTTATGCCTTATCTTTAACCATCAGATATAAAAATACTACATCCAGAACACTAATTAAATTGAATCTTTTTCCACAGACTGCAGCAGGTCTAATAACAAATTTAAAGGGCAAGTGAGGAATGGATTGAGGAGAAACAATAGAAATCTTGCTTGAAAATACAAGAGAAAAATTCAAAGCTCTCTTAGGGTACTTTAAGTTCATCAAATACATATGTGTGTACTGAGGCTAAATTTTCTTCACTACATTTTTATTAGTTAAAAGAAAATCCCAACTGTTGCATAAATTTTAAAATGGTCATTTGTTTTTCTCATCCTGTATAAAAACTAAGATGTTTTCAATCACAAGAACTACTATGAAATACTTGCAAGACAACGAAAACAAACTTGACATTTGCCTAAATTTTTGGATGGATGTTTACTTGATGTACTTGCAAAAATACACAAATTTTTCTGATTGGCAATTGAAGTTTATTGCAAGATGAGAGAACCTTGACTATGCTTTTAAACAAGATGTGTAGAGCTCTCATTTCAGATCCGTCTTTGATGCTGGTATTCACTGAGCACTAACATGAGCGAGCTGAGATGATGCCTCTAGATCTCTGCACATACGCTGAAAGCTGAAACAGTGGATCAAATGATAAAGAGGCCTTATTTATCATCACTATAATAGATGTGTCACAAGTACTTATTTTAAAAGTGGTGGATGAGATAATCTCTGTTTCCAGAAATAAAACTGTACATTTAGGCAATGAGAAAAACAGAGCTCATTCTATTGAGAGCATAAAATATGTAAAACTTCTGATGAGAGCAAAGCAGAAAGGGGCCATGTCTGTACTCCTGGCTTTTGCCTGCAATCAATATATTGAAAAGTGTTGGGAGATGCGATAGAAGCTCTGACTGATGTAGCTGCCCTGACACAGAAGTCACTGATGTAGCTGCAAGTTCTGGTTCCCCTTCTCCCCTTGCCTGACATGACTTTTGTTAGGTGGTTTTTCAGGTGGCTTTAAAATACTCATATAAAACACAGCTTTGCTGGTATAGCTTCACCTCTACTGGTCTCTCTTTGATTTGTATACAAAAGTGTAAAATGCCTCTATAGTAAAGTCATTTGGAATGCATTATGAATATTCAATAGGTGTAATTTGCCTTTAAAATATTGAATTTTTTCCATTTCTCCTAGAAATGCTGGCATTCCCCATTTGCAAAGTATGCAGAGAACAACTTCCTTCTGGTTAAAGCTGTGTATTTTATGACTTGGTTAAAAAGCAAACAAAGACTTTTAACTGCTTTTTATAAGATCTGTTCTGGTGAAACCACTGTTAACTTTGCAGAGATTTGGTTATTCTTTCTTTAAACAGTCAACTTCTTTTATCAGCCAAAGAATAAGTCTTTGATTAATGATCATTTTTATCTCTTTGAAAGGATCCTTTCCGACCATTGGGGTGAAGTCTCTTTCGAGATTCCTGAGGGCGGGATTTTTAAATAGCATCCTGGCCTCACATCCAGTGTCAGGGGGTGGATCTTTACCCCCCAGCATTTCCTCTGGTAGGTATTCCAGCCTATTCCCCCACATCAATTTTTCCCTTCACCCTTTGCCCCATCTCTCCACACATCTTAGGGAAACAAAATTGGTCAGACAGGGAGATTAGATGTCTCTTCCAATAAACAGCCAAAACAAAAGAAAATGGAAAAGTAAATTACTTTTCTGGAACTAACCATTTTCTTGAATCAATGTGTAGGAGAAATTGTGAGGGAAACTGATCTGTAGTTAAGTGGTCAGCCTAAATATTGGAGGAGAAGGCCTGGTATCCTCTATTCCTACACTTCGTGAAGCATGCCCGTGTGCACCAGGGAAACATAATTTTAAAAATGCCTCTATAAAATCCTGAATTTTTATGTGACTCACTGACTCTTCCTAAAAATTTACATTCCTTTGTTAAAAGATAGAAGCAAAAGAAATTTGGAAAAGCAAAATTTAATTATTTACTGATGTACTGTTTAAATCCTTTGTATGCTTTTGTAGTTGCAACTTGTATCTCATGAAAACCACTTTAACTTTTTTTAAATAACTTTTATCACAATTTGAATTACTATAATCCTCTCAAAATGAGAGAGAAACTTGCATTGTTTATGTTGCCAGCACTGTCTCTGGCAAGGTCCCCAGCAGAGGCACAGCCGTATGATGGCACGAGGGACCCCAGAGGGTTGGTGGAAGGTTGAATGTAAGCCAAGAATGAGAACACCATGCCAAGTGAATGGGCTGCTATCAGATACTGGGCTGAAACAGGGAAGAAGCACAGGTTAGAGGCATCCTTTCTCACAAAGGCTTTATCTGTTATCCATTCTCTTCTGGAGTCATTAAACACCATCTTCCACCAAAGCTAATCAATGGAGATTACATACATGTATCTTAATTATTCTTGAAACTGAATCAAAGTTCAGTTCTGTTCCTTTCCAAACTATATATTTCTGTGTAAAATTAATCTGTACATGGGCTAATGTCACACTTGTATCTTTTCAGGACATCTTATGTGTAATGTTACTTACAGTTTTTCTTAAAGAGGAAAAGTCTCTTAGGGTAAAAGTAGGGAGAAAGTTGAAAAACTATATAATTTTTTTTATTTGTTATACAAAAGAAAGTGTTCTACTTCTCTATGCCTCATTTTATCTAGTGCAATAATTGTAGGCCTCATTAGTACAAGATGATTCTTTTTGTTTGTTGGGTTTTTTAAGTGCTATTCTTTCTTTGTTTACTTTCTTTCTTTCTTTGAATAGAAGCTTCTCAGCAACTTCTATGTCTTTTGATTCTTTGGGTGGCTTTTGTCAACATTTTGTAAAATGCTTTCCTTTTTTTTTTCTCCTTGGAATATCTCAGTGTTTAATGACCCTTAGGCTATTTTGGCAGTCAGCATCATGATGAGATTGTTGTTTATAACCAAACAACTGGGGAAGAGGAAATACTCTAAGCCCCATAAAATTCTCTGTTTTGAACATAGTGTTCTGTACAGCATATCACTGATTCAGTTAGATTACAAATGGCTTAACTGCACTGGTGAGCTGGCTCCTCACCTACATACCTACCCACGAGATTATTTTGTAAGGTTCTCAGGACTGTTTTTTTCCAAGTGCTTGTAAAGATTTTTAACACAGTTTTTGGCCTTAAATCTTAAATGTGGTTTGTTTAATATAAGTGGTTAAATATCTATCCTAGCTTTTTGCAAAAACAAGCCCATTTTCAGACAATAGCTTCCTTTTGATTTAGCTACCATTGATGTCACAAATTACTTAGCTTCTAGTTATCCCATCTGATAGCAGTACCAGTGTACATGACTTAGTTGATGTAGGTCTACAATGACAGATGGAGCCACATAAGCAATAAGTACTTTTTCTCAACTGCTAGCCTTGCATATATTAAATCAAATTCTTACACACCACTTAGCAGTTTACACTCCTCATTGTACTTACACTGGCATGAGCTGTGGAAGCTTACCCCTTCCTTCATAATTACACATACACACACAACCATACACGTATATATGGATGTTGTGAAAAACCAAGTAACTAAATTGTCAGAGCTGCATTTCTTAAAATTTCAGCTCTTCCAAAGTAAGTACAGTGTTGTTTGCTACATTTTGGGAAAATTCTTAGCTTACTACTCTTGCTGTGTATTGGCAGTTCCTGATCAATCCCGTGTAAAGGGTTTGTTATGTAAATACATCCCCATATCACCTGGCAGAAGTTACAGATAGAAAAATTTATGGTATGCTGCTTGTCTTTGAGGAGTGTTAGATTGTTAAGCTTGCTGAGTTGGAAAGGAAGGGAGAGAAAGCAAATACTTTCCTACTGTTTCTTTCAAGCTAAACTCCTTTCCTGAGTTTTTCTGTTGACAAGGACATCTAGAGATGGGTGTCAGGCTATGAGAAACTATGGAAAAGTTTCTGTTACGCGAATGTCCTAGAACCCCTTCAAATTAGCAAAGAAATTAGGCTTGATAAAACAATCCACCCCCATGAACCTCAAAAAAATGTATTATATGCAAGAAATGAGGATACACTTACTTTCCAGAAACTTAGAAGTGATACAGGACAATTTGCTCTTTGCTGTCTTGGACTAGATAATGACAGGACTCCTCCTCCATGTAAAGTACATTATACAGAGGATATCCCCTTTTCAGTGTTTTACTGCCTGGTTGTCTCTGACTGTTTGTCTAACATACATTGTAGTGTTCACATTTATTTCAGGGAGCTTCTGAAAAAATTCAGACATAACTGTAGATGATTACCAGTTTTCCTTTCTTCAAAATTAATATTTTATTACAATTTCCAAGTGCACCTGAGTGAGCCCATTATCCTTGATATTGAATAAACTGACAATTGAAAGCAAATTGTATTGACAGACCATTATTGAACAAAATTACTCAACAAGAACCATCAAGGAGCAATTGTTCATAGTGAAACTCAACTATAATTATGGTACTCCAATAATGAGAAAAGTAACTTCTATTTTTTTTTTCAGTTAATGCATTTTTCCCTGTTCTGGATTCCAACACCTGAACTGCTGTATTTGTTGTTGAATGAAAATTGCTAACCCTTTCTCTAACAAATTGATTCTTTTATTGCATATGAATTTTCTAGGATATCTGAGCCAAATGGCTCTTCCAGTTTATTCTTTCCAACCTCAGCGCTGTCTCACTGCCATCTCTAGCCTATAAACCCTACAACTAATGCATAATGGCATGTCTTTTCTGAGGATGGAAATTCAAATGTATATGAACTTTTCCATTAGACAGGCAGGGAGTACTTCAGAACCAAAATATGGATGAGCAATATGTAACATAAATAGTGAGAGAATTTTTTTGTGTGTGTGCTGGTCCATTAGGGTTTAGTTTGAATGGTACAAATGGGATTAAGCTCGGAGTGTAAAATCATAGAGCCATAGAATGTTGGGAGTGGGAAGGGACCCACAAGGATCATCGCGTCCAACTCTTGCCCTAGCATAGGACAGTCACAAGATTCAGACCATGTCCCTGAGGGCACATGTTGGCCAAATGCTTCTGGCATCTTGTCAGGCTTGGTGCCATGAGCACCTCCCTGGGGAGCCTGTTCCAGTGCTCATCAGTTTTTTATAGCTCAGAAGTTTAAAGTTTACATAGAATGAAGGGAAATAGGAGCAAAACATATGTGCGAAAATAATAAATGGAAAAACATGCATAAAGGATATTCTAAAGCGCAAGACGTCAGAATCTTATAAAGATAAATAATCAAAAAATGCCCTGACATTTCAGAATAGGATTAAAATAATACCTTAGAATAGGATTAAAGTAATACTTTAACGATGTCATTACACCTATGAAAGCACAAAAACATGTTTTACTGTAACTTTACATATGCGATTTTTTTATTTTGCTCATTTTCAAATTTCAGTTGTAGCTTACAGCTTCTAAATATGATGCACATATGATAATGGGTAAATTCACAATAGAGATTAAATAAGCTTTGTTCCTTATGTCCCATAAGTACCTGTTATGTATCATGGCATACTGAAGATTGATGAAGTACAGAAGCCCCTGATACACAGACTTAATTTTGTTTAAATTCCTTTACATGCTCTGGGGTCATTAGAGCAAGTGATCCTTGATGCAGTCAGATCCCGTGGACTAATTTTGAACCAAAGAACATCCCTTGCTCTTTCCACAAGAGGATGTAGAGTGGTATGAACATTGAAGATGTTAAGAGTAACTTAATGGTGAAATGTCATTAGATTAAGTGAAATATGCTGAAATTCAGTTATTAAAAAAGTGAGGTGAATTGTTTTGGTTACTCTTAACTAGGCAAAAGTACCTCTCAAACTGAATCTGAACAGAATCCGTTTATTATGGATTTTTTTTTTTTCTTCAGTGCTAAAGGTTCTGGAATTTTTAGGGTTCTAAGTCAAATTTCAAGCAATATAAACCTTATGCCAGAATCAGGTCTATTAAAAACTGTCTGGAAAGTATAAATACAGGGGGAAAAACAATCAAAATGGTATAGTTTTAGCCACTATTTCCCCCTTCACTACTCAACCTCCAAATTGTAATAAACAACTATTTCTTCTGGTTTTACCCTCTACTGCACTCCATTTGCTTCTCTTACAGAAAGACAAGAATAAGAAAACTAGTCATGGAAACAGCACAACTGCTTTCTCTTTGCAGTTCCACTTATCTTCTCTCAAAACCTTCCAGAATATCTTTTGTAGGCACACCGGAGGATATGAATTAAGGGTTGCAGAAGCAGCACGCCAGAGACTTATAAAACTTCTGTTGTCCAAAGTACATTCTCCCTTTGTCATGTAAGAAACCAGGAGAACTATTTGCAGTGCTTGTTGCTGCAGGAGGGGAGACACAGAGGATTTGAGAAGGTATTTTAGAAGTGTATATATACAGACTTTTCCTGGCTTCCAAAACATACTAACAGGCATAAATTCTTGCCAGTGGGTTACAGGGTAGTGAGTGGAAAAGTATTTCATATAAAATTACAGAAAAAACAGCTCAGAGAACAATATCTTTG